TCCTCTTTGACCATCTTTCTACTTCATGCTTTTAAATCTCTCTTAAACTCACACCACACTCAATACCTTTCTGCAACTTATCTTACTTGTTAAGAAATATTTTCTTGCTAACTGTCCCTCATATCACTCTCATTCATCGTAACAGTCTCAACCTTACTACCCTTCTTTCTTCTTCCACAGATAACAAACCCCAATGAATGTCAGACTTTGATGGATCACCTATTAATCCCTCATGATGACTTACAAGAAACCCTCTTGACAAAGGTTGATTTTTCATGGTTTAGCTGATGGCTCTTACTTGAAAATGAAAATGGTAAATATTGTGCAGAATATGTAGTATTAACCCCTTTTGAACTCATTAAGGCTGCATCCTTACCCCTGGGCACTTCAGCCCAACAGCCCAATTTAATACAATTGCCCCCATCTCATGGATATGTATAAAAACAAGATGATGTAAAATTTCATGCTTGTACTTGAGTATGTATTCTAGCTAAAGGCAAAACTGCAAATACCTATACTGATAGTTAAATGCTTTTGGAATAACCCATATTTTGGAATGTGATGGAAACAAGGTTTCCCTACTTCCAGCAGGGACAAAATTAAAAGTGGTCCTTATGTCCAAAATTTATTAGATATTTTACTTCTGCCAGCAGCTCTAGCTATTGTTAAAGTCTCTGGGTGTTCTAAACATGACTTTCTGGAAGCCAAAGGAAACCACCTACCTAATGTCTCTGCAAAAAACACTGCTCTTACAGAATCCATGGACCCCATGACTCTGTCACGGTCCAAAAATGACTTCCCCTGTTGACAACTCAAGAGAATTAACTAGGAAAATATAACAGGTGGCTCCTGAAGAAGAAAAACAAACTTTGAATTCTTAGGGCTGTTGATATTACAAAGAGAAGAAACTCTGGTTCAGACCCAATACCAAACTGGTCCTGCCATAAAATCTGAAGTTTGCATTGTAAACTATCACACATGAATTAAGTCTTTGGCCAACTGATAAAATGATATTGTTCATGAATCAGTATAGGTGTGGAAACACTGGCAAGGCTACAAAGAGTGCTAATCTTGCATGTTCATTTGTCCTAAATTTTACCCAGAGAAATCTAACTACTGCCCCAGACATTTAAATTAACCCAATGTACCATTCTAGCTTCACAAATGGATTTAATACAATTGCCCCCATCTCATGGATATATGCATGTTCTAGTAATGGTTTGCATGTTTTCACATTGTATTGAAGTTTTCCCATGTAGACAGGTGACTGCCTCTTTTGTAGCTAAAATCCTATTACGAAAGATTATTTACACTTGGGAACTCCCCTTGAACTTTGTGATCAGGGAACTTGTCTTACTGGTCAAATACTTCAGTTAGTCTGTGCTTCCTGGCCAGTATTGCAACATTTTCACTGTGGGTATTGTCTTTAATTTTCAGGACTGGTTGAATGTACAAATGAAATTATTAAGACTCAGTTAGCTAAATTTATCGAAGCTCTTCAAATACCCTGGCCAAAAGCATTCTTGTTGGTTCTTCTAAATCTTAGATCTATACCCATCAATATACAAAACTTTCACCTTTGGAAATGATTACACAGCAGCCAATGCACTTAGTCCCACTTCTTTTGACCTACAACTAATAAAGGGGGATATACTTCACTTTTGCAAGGCCTCATCTAGTCCATAGAAAATAATCATGCTATGGTAGAACAATCTTTCCACAGTGCATTCCTGGAAGAAGAAGACATCAAACATTGTATATTATAGCTTGAAGACTTTGTCTATTGGAAAAGGGATCTCCAAAAAGTCTAACCTTTCTGGAAAGGCCCCTCTTGGATGTTATTAACTAACCTCTGTTCAACCAAACATCAAGAATTAGACTCTTGGATTTATGTGTCACATCCAAAGAAAGGCCCCAAACCTGAATGAATCTGTAACTATACAATTTTACATAACCCAGATGAACATGAATTCACTCCCCACTGGAATCCAGGTGACTGTATCATCTCTTCCACTAATGTATCTTTTTGGTAGGGCAATGAAAACTCATAATGATATGGAAAATGGGCAGCTGATGGTACTTCATTGGGAATTGACCACAAATCTGGGGAATAGTGGAAACTAGATTCAACTCACTTTTTCCTTAGAGATCCTCCAGTCATTCAGAAAAATCTTACTTGTACTAGATCAGTTCATGTACTTCAATATCTATAGACTTTTAAGGTGCTTAGATAAGGCTTAATTAAATAGAGCCTACCCCAAACGTTCAATGGACTCTCCTATAGCTTGGTACAGTTGCCATGTCCCATGTTGCCATTACTTTGCTATTACTAAGTAAACTCATCTTTTTGACAATTTTGAGTTTACCTCAGTTTACCTCGTTATTTAAGCTGAAAAAGTTATTTTATCTTTTCCCTAACTCATGGAAAGATCCTGAAAAAATTAACTCCTTTTTTAGGAGAAAGCAATAAGATATGGTCCTGTCACTTGACCCTATTCAGCAAGTTCAAAAACATCAATATAAGAAATGGCATAGCAATGAATTCATTTCCATGATTGTATTGTTTAAGCAAGAACAGAAAATATGCATAAAAAGCTGTTGCAATAAGAAGAAAAATTAATTCCTAGAATAATTCTGTGCCTAGTAGGCATAGGAATGTGACTATCTGTAATTTGGAATGTTACTGATAACCCAGGTGAGTGATTTCAATCTTTATGAAGTTATGACAATCTGCATTCTTTTGATTGGAGATGGTGGTGGTGGTGGTGGTAGATAGTAACACCACCTGCCTACCCCATTCTAACAGCCCCATATGGGAAGTGGTCATTTTTTACATAAAAATAACAATTAAATTTAATTTTATGTTGATACTTGAGAGTTTCAAAATATTTTTTGACACATCAAATAAAACCTGTAGCTGTGGGATGACCATCAGTGTTTTGATTGAGTTTGGCTGAGAAGAAAGGAGGCTGTCAAGAATCCTTTGAATGTAATGTATATATTATATTATGACATATTAAACAGATTCTTACTAAAATGTCCAGAAGGTTCTGTGTGGACTATGATGGTTGATAACAAGACCCTATCTACTAGTTAAAATAAACTGCTATCGCCCATTTATTAATTCAAGGGAACGATTGAGCACCCACTGTGTGCCAAGAATTGTTTCATGCAGTGAAAATACTAGTGAATTAGGTGAAGATGAACCACCACTTTCAAAAGCTAATATTCTGGAAAAGGATGGGACAGAAGGGTGAGACAGTATTAAAAAGGAAAAAAACAGATGAACAAGAATTGGAAAATAGCGGGGAAGGCTGTTATAAAAATCACAAGGGGATGGGACAGAGAGTGACTTGGTGAGATGTGAGGCAAGGGAGAACTTTGATGGAGTGGTCTTGGAAGACCTCCTGGAAGAGTAGTCATTTAAGCTGTGCCAGGCATGAAAAGATCTTGGCAAAGAACAGCCTAAGCTGAGAGAAATGCAAATGCAAAGGCCGGAATCAGAGGAAACAGAAAGAACAGTGAGCAAGCATGTGGGGAAAATGGTATGCTCAGGGATGGCTCAAGCCGTAGTGAGGAGTTGGGGTGTCACTCCAAGGGTGTTTGGATACCACTGGAAGGTTTTACGAAGAGAAATAGCATGATCCAATTTAAATTTTAAGAAGATCACACTAGCTGGTGTATGGTGGGCATGTTATCAGGGGGCAAGAGGGGAGGCAGGGTTACCAGTTGGGTAGACACTGTGGTCATCCAGCTAAGAGATGCTGGTGCCTTGAACTAGAGGGTAGCCCTAGAGGCAGAAAGAAGTAAGCCTCAAAATACTGTAGCTCTTACTTGTTAAATTTGTTTACAGTACCATTCTGATACTGTCTGTCAGTCTACTGTCTTCTAGTAGACTATATTTCAAGTGCTACCACTTATGAAGTGCCCCAAGTTGCTCAGGGCTTCTACACACTGAATCCTTATAATAATTTCATCCCAAGCTCATGTGTGGTGAAGTTAATTAACTCCCTAAGGCCACAAATCTAGTGAGGGGTCATATTAAGGCTTATCTAAGTCTGTCTGATACTGAGCAAGGAACAGTTCTTAGCCAATACACTACAGTATCTTCTTTTAACCTACCTTAGGGGCAGAATTGGACCACAGAAGTCAGGGCACAGCTGTTTCGTTAGTAGTTCTTAAAAGGAGAAAGTCAACAAAATCCCCAGAAAGGGAAGCATTTGTTTAAAGTGCAAATTCCTGGGCCTTATTATGAGAATGCAAACCAGAATCTCTAGGGTTTGGAGATTGAGAATGTATAATTAAAAACACTCTCAAGTGACACTAAAATTTATACAAACTGCAAAGTAGGCACTCAATAAATATTTGTTGCATATAATGGAAAGGTTAGGTAGGAAATGAAGGTCTAGTGTATACCTCACTCCCCAACCCCTGATCCAGAGAAAATGTAGGCCCACTTTTCAGAGGGCCTAAGCAGAGCCCCTCAGATCATGTGGAGATTCGTGATATGACTAATATATTGGGATGATATACTTGGGCTTTCTAGAAGCTTTCCATTTAAATAATTACTCTTTATGACCAAGTGCTAAATCCAGTTGTCTCCCCAGCAGAGGAAGAAGAAGCCCCTCAACTAGTAAACAATACCTACTTTAAAGCTAAATAATCTCTTTTAAAAAATAATTATTTTGATTTTTTAGCATTTTTGACACATGGGAGCCAGGACTTGTAAGGCCAACTTACCCATTAGACATAATACGTACAGTGCTTAGAGTCCATCAGGCTTTTAGGGGCTCATAAAAATGTTTTAATTTCTTTTTAAGTCAGAAGAAAAACATGTATATATTCTAGACTGGGTTGTATTAAACTTTTACCAATGTAGTTGCAAAATATAACTTTTTATTAAGAAGTGGCCCATGAAAACAACAATGCCTAGGACACACAGAAGTCCTCATGTGGCACTACTTACTCACGGCACTGGGCTCAGCTGATAGACAACCTACCTGGCAGGCATTGTACAGGAGCTGATGCTCGAACTTCTTGATCCCAAGAATGTTCTGGAACATCTCATAGAGTTGCTCTTTGCTCAGGATTAGCTCAGAGGCTGCACTGGCTGTCATCCGGGCCTGCTGCTTCCTGGGGTCCTCTTCCCCACGATAGATGGCATCAAACTTGGCCATCCAGGAGCTCAGCACAGTCTCTTTGCTGAGGCCATCGATCTCGGGCAGGCTGCGCACCCTCTTCTCAATGTGCTTCTTGAAGACCTCCCGGGAGTCATTGGCGGAGCAGCCCCCACTCTGTACCATGCGAGCGACACGGTCACTCTTCAGGAACACCTGAGCAAGAACAGGGCCAGGAGAGACATTAGAAAGTTGGCTCTGGAGGTACCAGTTTCCTGAGGATTGTGCTGGGTCACCCCCCATCATGGGCATCATGTGAGGCATCAGTGAGGGTCACATCCTGCCCGACGACTTCCTAGCTGTGCAAACTCGGAGATGCCGCTTACATGTTTTACTTTTGGGTCCAAATCTGGAAAATGAGAATAACAATAGTACTTACTAGATTGTTGCAAGGACTGAACAAGACAGGACTATCCTGAGAGGCAGTGCAAAATGTATCAATTCTTTGCTCAGACTGTCCTGGGATTTTTCTCTGCCACTTAGTGGCTGTGTTTGTTTTGGCAAGTTAACCTCTTTGTACCTCTGATTTCTCATCTATACAATGGGAATCATAGCAGTCTCTACATGATATGTATTTTTAGGAGAGGATTAAATGAGGATTAATATATGATAAGCACCTAAAAACTGGCCCATATTAATGTCACATAGGTTGTTGTTTTAGTATTATATGTAAAATACCTGGCATGATATCTGACTTACAGCAATTAAATGTTAACCACTACTTATATCAGTTTTATCCTCTCAGTGATACTCATCACAATTAAAGTTGAACAAGTATTAGGTAAGTATGGATTTAATGTCTACCTTCCTAAGGCAAGGACTATGCCCTTTCTGTTCCTGGCAATGTCATCTGTCTCTAGCATAGAGCCTGGCACTCTGAAAGCGAATGCACAAAGAAGGTAGGCATTACATTCAGTCCATTTTGTAGATGGAGAACCAAGACTCCAGAGAGGGGAGGAGGTGTACTATGGTAACTCAGGCTGGCTGACTACAAATGGGTGGCCTCTGACTTCAGCCTGGCTCCTTCCTTCCCTGGAGGGGCTCACCTGGTGGGAGGAAGCCTCTTCCATCTGGTGGAGAACCCCTGCTTGTTTCGCTGGTGCCTCCTGGGTCCTGGGACCAACCTACCCATTAACAACAGTTTACTTTTGCTCCAGTGCCCACCATTCGGAAGCTACGTAGTTCTGAGGTGTCATACAAGCTGGTGAAGCTGCTGCTTCATGTTCACAGAGAGGAAAACATCTGACACTTTTGAGCTGTGTCCTAGTCACACATACATAAATATCCTTCCAGAGGCAGAAGAAATGTTCATTCTTCTTTCAGATTCCAGGAAATGCCCTTGTTAGCTATGAGACAGCATGACCTGGGAGGCATCTCATTGCCTCCTGCTTCATCACAAAACCTTCCTCAGGGAGGAGAGATGCTAGAGAGACGGCCTCTATTTATTGTCAACTTAATGAACTAATTTAGAAAGAAGGAGGGCTGAGAGTTGGCTTCACAGGAGAAAGCCTTGGCCCACTCTTTTATGCCTGGGAAGTGGTACTCAGATGAGACCTTAGAGTTCATTTAAAAATCACTTACAGAAAAAAATATTCAAATAAATCCTCAGGCCTATGAGCCTTAATGAAATGGAAAATTCACTTGGAAACCTCTAATAGGTAAGGCAGATAGTTTTTCCATCTACTAACGCATTGTGCCTCAGTTATAGTTCCAGATCTCAAAGAACATCAAAGTTTTGAGGCAAATAGAGGAAATTTTGTGGAGGCTGTACAGTACTGTAGCATGATATCAGACCATGGTTCAGACCAGCTCTACCATTAATTTCCTGTGTAACCTTCGTTATCCTCTATCCCTCTCTGATTCTCTAGTTTCTTCTCTGTACACTGAGGGAATGGAATATAAAAATTTGAGGTCATTCTTCCAATTAGATTGCTTATACTCTTCTTCATGAATTCATTCACCTTTTTTTGGGCACTGGCTATGTGGAAGGTCCTGTGCCAGGTGCCAGGGATACAGCCGTGAGCCAGACAGATGCAGATCCAGCCCTCGTGCCTCCATGACAGCATCCTAACATCTATACAAACATCACTGCAAACTGGGAAAAGTGCTACTGGGGGAAAGAACACAGTGCCGTGGGTGCCTGTCATCAGGGACCTATTGGAATATGCAGTCAGGAAAGCTTTCCTAGGGGAAACTCCTCTGAGATGACATGTGAAAGATGGCTGGGTGAAGAGAGAGGGAAAGAGTATTTCACAAAGAATGAACATGTGCAAAGACTCTACGTATCAGAGGTAAAAAGAAGCCAGTACAGCCATGACAGTGGGAGTAGGAGAATGACCGTGTAATGTGGGTGGGTCAAGGTCAGATGGCAAGGGCACAGGAGGTCACAGTAAGGTTACTAGTCTTATCTTCATTTGAAGGGCACTGGGAAACCACTGAAGGCTTTCAGCTGAAACATGGGACGATCAGGTTCCCATTCTCTCCCTTCACTGTGGACAACACACCTGAAGGGGCCAAGAAGATAAGCAGGAGGCCAGCGGGAGGCCCTTGTGAGAGCAGAGGTGAGGGATGATGGTGGTGAGGATGCAAAGAGGCAGATTCTTTGTTGTCATTTCTAATGAACGCCAGAGGTTGCTTGAAAACATTGTCAACAATGAAGCGACATTCTCCTCCCCATCTGTCCTTACTAATGTCCCACAGACCTGGAGCAATCCCCCATTACAAGCTCTCAGCACCATATTCCTTTCCCCGAAAGCTCTTCCACAGCTGCTCTGTCATTTGTCTTGGTGAGTGGTTAATACCTGAGGTTCCACTTGGACTCTGAGCCCCAAGAAGACAGGAGTTGCAGCTGTTTTTTCTTTTACTTCTTCCAAGTGCCTAAGACAGTGCTTGGCACACAGTTGGTGTGATGATGAATGAATGAATGAATAACATGAACAAAGCAGAGGCCCTACTAAGATTATGTCTAAATGAGGGCAGGGAGGTAAAGGGGGACACTGGAAAGCACAATATATTGGTCTCCCAGAACAACTGAGGCTGGACCGTCCATGGGATCTAATACCAGGGGGAAGAAATGAGTCTATTGGCTCACTGGTCCCAGCCAGATCCTGCTGCTTTACAAAGTCTTTTCCTTTGGACATAATAGCCCTTCAATAAATATTTGTAGAACTAGTCGTAGTTGACCTTAGACAAGTCCTTATCTGCTATCAATCTCTCTTCTTCGTTGTCGCCTGGGGTCAGTCCACCAGCCTTCTTTGATGACGATCAAACTGAGAGAACTCTGGAAAGTGGAGGGCTCCATCTGCCCAGACATAAGACTTGACTGCCAGGCCTCAGAATGAAGGCAGATGAGCTGGATGTCAAAAGTGTGGAGGAAGGAGGCTGAAGACTGAGGAGAGAGCAGAGATGAAATGCCGAAAGGAGGCAAGACAGCCACGGGGAGAGAAGGTGGCAGAACAAAACAATTTTCCAGGCATATCACCTGTCTTGACTTCTCAATCTATCAGCAGAAAGCGGGGTCAGTTCTCAATCTGTCGGCCGGGAAGTGAGGTCTGGTCCAGCCTCGCCCTGTAGCAAATGCAGCCACTGTGCACTGATGCGCTTGCGTGTCTCTAGAAAACCCTCGAAACTCATTTGTACAGGGAGCACTATCTGGTGATTTTGTTTTTGTTTTCTGTTTTGTTTTTTGGTGGCTGTTGCGAGAGACTTCAACCCCAGGCACAGTTCTATGCGGCACATCCATAAATCCTCCCTACTCCTCTGCCAACTTCCAGGCAGGTCATAATGGGAGATGGAAGATAAACAAACAAATACAGAATCATGAAAAGCAGTCAATTCAGCGACTCGACCTCATCCATCAGTACTTCCCACCGTTGCCAGCACCAAGCAACCTCAAGGTTGTTTTAGAAACACACGAGCACATCAGTACTTAATGACTGTCCACGGGTAGGGGTAAAGCTGGCCCAGCTCCCACTTCCTAACTGACAGACTGCAAACCCAAGACTGATCTTTTCCTGCTCAACAAAAGCTCATAATCCCAATACACATAAGAAAAACACCTAGATGTAAGAGTAAGTAAGATTAAAAAACCCCCACAACAATCTGGTTGCTACTAATAAATGGCACATTGATAACAGGAGGAGTGGGCTCTTGTGTCAAAAGGCCTGTGTTCAATCCTGTCTCTAGCAGTTGCTAGCTTTGTCCTGAGTGAGTTACTTAATCTGGATTTCAGATTCCCAGTCTTTCCAATGAGAACCCTGACAACCTTCCTTTGTAGGACTGGCTGTGAATTCAACGAGGCAATGCATGTGAATTGGTGAGCATGGTGTCTGCTGAAAATGTAATAAAAGTTAGCCTTTATTTTTGAACAGCATATCATGAAGCCATGAAAAAAGATAGAATTTTTTTTTCATTAGCATCAAAGGATGTCCATGACGTACTGTTAAGCCCGAGACTTCCAGTGGTAGAGGCGGGGTTAGAGCATAGTCTACACGTGACCTTGGATGGAGATCATCATAGGTAATAAAACTGATGAGAGCATGTCATATGTGGGACACTTAAAGAAACAGAAAGGAGATTGAAAGCCACTGTGCTAAATGAAATGAGTGGGTTGTTAATATTTTGTAGCAATTTCCCTGATAATCCTAATATGGAAATCAAATAGCTGTCTAGGTGTATAGACACATTGAAAATATTGAAATGATATATACCAAAACTTAATATGATGAGATTACAGGTATTTTTCTAACCATTTAACCTAGATTTTTTTCTACATTGTTTATTTTTATAATTTACATACATACAAATTTATAATTTCATACTGCCCAGGCCCCAAAACTAGGGAGTGGATTGATTCTGTCAACTTTCACCTGTCTTGCTTTATTTCTGTGCGGCAGAGGAGCACAGCACCACCATTCTCCCGCTCGAACCTTGCAATATTTATGATGGTACTTTGCAAGCGCTAGATTCAGGGTAAGGGTGTGTGTGTGTACTTTAAGCTGGACAACAATTATGCCTATTACAGATGAAGAAACTGAGGCTCAGACTTGGCTGACATTCCACAGCCAGTGTGCCGCAGAATGAGAATTATTCAACCCCACATGCTTCAGACCCTAGATTCATCCTTCTAACCACTCTGACCTCTGCCCCCTCCTTCTAGGCCTGACTTTCCCCCTAAAAACAAATGCCTTTAGAATGGGCAGTCACTCTTCTCCTAGGGGTATATCTGTTTTAAGGCCACTGAGGAGTGAGAGTGGTTTTGTTTACTGGAAAAATACGTAGTTTCATTTCAGAAAAATGGCTGGGTATTACTTTTATTTTTCTTAGATTAGAAAAAAAAGTTCAATCATAAAGACTAAACCAAGTATGTCACCCAGTGTAGAGAACACCTGGAGTTTTTGCCTGCCAACCATCCTTCTCCTCTGGTAAGTCTGAGAACATCTGAGGACATCTTTGCTATTGCAGCTTCAGTGGAACTGTCAGTCATGGGACCTTGTCCTTCTTAGCCATGTGGTATGTTGGCACCTGAGCTTGGCCAATCAGATTTCCCCTTCTGGGGTTCAGATTCAGAGTAAGGCGGCACAGAAATGGAAAGTGGTTGGACTAGATTCATACCCATGATAGGGTGCCTGTTATATCTGGCCACCTGGCTTCCTGAAGTTTAGCTGCACTGGTTTCCATCTTTTCTGAAACTTGGTTATTTCCTTTAAAAACACATAGTATTTTTAAAACACCAGTTGTTATTGTTAAGGTCTATTCAACCATAGCCAGTCAGTTTCTGTTGCTAGCAATGGAAAAATTCTGTCTGATACATCCAAAGCTGGTTTGAGAAATGCCAACTGAGCGGTTGTTAGAGGAGATGAGTTAAACACAAAATAAAACAAAGCAAAACTCAATCAGAGCAGTTTCACTGGCTCAAGGCCAGCTATCAGCTCTCATGTTGTAACTGAGTGTTTGTATGTCTTCCACCTCATTCTACCCTCCTACTTCCCACCAAATCCCCCCCATGTTTCCTTCCAGGCAGGATCTGAGTGAGAAAGGTTTTTTAAGCTTTTCCATCCACCTCCTTTTCATGATGCCAGGAGCAGCATGCGAAGGAACCAAAATTAAGAAGGGAAACGGGGAGGTGAGGTTGAGGATGTAGGGTGAAGGGCCTATGTTTTAGACATTTGTCTTAAAAGGGCTCAGAGTTAGAAAAGATTGTGGGGGCCATGGAAGAATAGGTAGGCTCTCTGATGTTTTAGGACCTTGGCTGTGGGAAGAGGATGGAGTTGCTGGGCCACATCTCAGTGTACCTACCTCAGGGTCCAGCCCTCAAAGCAATAATGGAAGGGGATTAAAGTATTAATCTACCTCTTTGCTTGATAAATTTTGACAATCAGGGCCACTAGGAAAGGATAAAATAAAACTGCATGTTCTCAAGAGCCAAAGGGAAACTTCGTTTCTTTTAATCGTGGCCCAGCTCAGATCCCAGGCCGGCCCAGCTTCCGACTAGTGCTGGCCAGCTGGGTTCAGACTGGGCTGGATGGGCACAGACAGAAAAAGAATAGTTCTGACTCACTTACTTTATTAAAAAAGAAATTTTTTTCTTAACTACTCTAATATGTTGATGAACCATGATTGCCTTAGTGAAACATAACCAATGCCTGAAATTGACTTTTCTAGTTCAGGAATCTCAGAACTTTTAAAAGAAAGATTATTGTTTTAAATATCATAACCATTGGTACACTGGGATATGAAGGGGAGGTATGGTGGGGTGAAGAGTGTGTGTGTGTCTATGTATGTGTATGCATGCTGAAGACACACACACACACACACACAGACACTGAGCACGTGAGCAAGCACATAATGCATTTAGAAGGAGGATATCTGCTGGTTTTGCCTGCTGAGCAGTAAAAAACACTCTCATTTCTTAATGAGAAACCACTGTCCTTTCACTGTAAATGGCTCCGGTGTGGCTGAGCCTGCACTCGCGCTCCAGAGGCGGCATCGGTCATAGCACTGATTCCTGGTCTAGTTCACCCTTATTGATTGCGATTGGCTCGAGAAAGTTCACATGACCCGTGTCAGTCCAATCCAGACACCCTGGGGCCTTTGGCTGGGGGCTCTCAGCAGAGACGTATTACCTTTGGGACTGGGATTGCTAAACTGGGAGGATGTGACCTGGAGTGCCAGGGTCCTCCATATAGAGTGAACTACCTAGGAAGGAAGCCAACACAGGGAAAAGCAAAGAGCAAAGGTGTGGCAAGAAAGATATCCATCCTGTGGGCATCTCTGCAGTCTCTGGATGCGGCCACACAGAAGCCAGGCCTACCCATGGACTTTTAAATTGCTTGAGCAAATAAATCTCACTTTGGGCTTAAGCCAGTTTGAGCTAGGAGTCTGTGATTTGCAATCCAGAGTCCTGACTAAGGCAGATGCTGACAGGGAAGGAATTGGATCCTAGAATAGGGTGGAGAAAGAGACACTAGCTTCCCCACTGCCCAAGAGTGAAGAGATAGGGAGGGGTCATCAACTTGGAGACCCCTTGACTGGGGCTTTTGCTTTGGAGGATTAGACTTCCTAGGAAAGGTGCAAATGAAGACTCTCCAAAACTTTACTAATGAGTATGGTAAATAATTAATACCCCACATTATTTCCTGTTATTCAAATTTTAATATTAAATATTCAGTAATTTCTCAATGCCTGTATTCTCACCAGACTAAAAAGCTCTTTCAAATAAACTTGTCATTATAAAGGAAAATACAAGGATCACCCTAGATAAAAGGGCAATTCCCAGAGACTCATTAGCCCATTGATGACTATTAATTTTCAAATTTAATTATCAGATACAAATGACACTTTCCTTTAATTTATGTCATTAGTCAAATGAGCTTTCTAATTAAGATTTGCAATCTACAAATTATAAACTGTTGACTAACTCTAAACATGGAGAAATATTCATAAGAGTCTGCCTGGTCTGAACTGGCTGGCTTTCAGAACTTGAGGAAAAAAGGGGAAAAAATAATTTCATTCTGTTTCTAAACAGAATTTTTTATTAAATACTTTCAAGTTATTCACTGTCATCACATCATTATAATCCCAAATCTCATTTCCACTTTCCATTACATTAAACTGAAAAATTGAGTCACAATAGATAAAGAAGTTTGATACTTACAGACAATAATTAATGGTAATTATAAAATGAAAAAAAAGCCCTCACATTTGACAAATACAAAAATGAACTAGACCTCTAAAACATATACAAACAAAAATATCATTGAGGAAATGGTGTGTACAATGAGTCTGTGGCTAACTCTAGCAAACATCACAGAGACAAAGGCTGCTTACTATTAAACACTGATTAGCAAATCAGTCAATAACATTTTCACAAGATCTAATTGCAGTCTTGCTCCACTCTCCATGAAAGAAATCAAGTGCTTTGGCAAATAGGAAAGGGGAGTTTTACGAAATCAATCAACTAACACTTTTAAGGCATCTACTAAGAACTGGGAGGCCCAATGGGCAGAATACCTATGTGCTTGAGGCACCAATATTTTTTTTTGAAATAATTTGTTACCCAATAACTAAAAAAGAAGAGGAAGAAAGAAATCAGTGAAACAATCCTATGGGGGAAAAATCAGAGTTTGTTCAATTCCCTTACACTTATTTTACAGTTCATTATTATTATTTTAAATTGCATATGGCAGGATGCTGTAAGTTTCTCAATGCTTAGGGGTTGGTTTCTAATGTTTTAATCTAGACTTGACAAGGGTCAACACATTTGGGGCATAGGATTCCAAAGATAGAGAATATCTGGTTCATGTGAAAATAGATTAATATAAAATAAAATGTCTTTTAATGACCAAATAATCATTTTGGAAAATATGTATGTCAGGTAAACATTGCCAGTAGGAAGGTATAGCATGTTCACTTCATTAATGATATACAAAATAGTCAATATGTACATTAAAGAATAATAATTATAAAATTTAAAAATACTAGTGGAATTTGAAATTCACTTTAATTATAAATAAAACTCTGGGTCTAGAGGTAAAAATTTACTGGTGTTATACACACACATACATATACATACATATATATGTATGTGTATATGTATATGTATACACACACACACACACACTCAGGGTACATTTTTTCATTTATAGGTTTTCTCCTGAGAATAGTTCTGCAGTTTTAGAGTCCTAACTTTCAGAAAAGAAGTAACACGACCATTTTAATAGAACAAAGAAGCTAGTGAAGGCACCATCCTTAGAAGATATTAACATCCTTTAGAAAGAAGTTAAGTTATGTGAAAATGCTCCCAACTCAGTTCAAGTCTTAGTTTGTGGCATCTCAAAAGCTTTGTGACCCTGAGTAATTGACCTAACTTCTAGGAGCATCAGTGTCTTTATCCTTGAAACGGGACTAAGTAGACCGCTATAAAGATTAAACAAGAAGTCATACGCAAAGCACTCGGTACACTACCTGGTATTAACATCAGTGGTAAACAGTGGCTTCTATTTATAATTTTCCCTGAAAAAATTCCTTAAAACTATAACCAATCACCGACTCCTCTTCCTCAGGAGGAATGGTCCTATAGAAGGCTAAGGCTGCTGTTGCCACTGGTCAGCAGTCCAGAAACCCTGGGCCTCAGACTGGAGCAGTGCTGGCACTCTTCTGCGTGGTGAGCTTACCTCATAGTAACTCTGGACAGCATTCATGAAGGCTTCGTCAGCCACGATCTGGGTTTCCCCATTGAGGAAAGCCTGAAACCGGTCCTTGACTGTCTGTAGCTGCTGTTTGCTGATCTGTAAGAAAGAGAGAAAGAGGGGACAGTGAGGACTTGTTTTAGAAAAGGACCATGGTTAATGATGCTGAAGATGCCAGGTCCATTGGTGTACTGGAACCGGCTTGTACAGAAGTGTGAGAGCTGATTGCTAAATTTGCAGGAATTTTGTGAGGCAGTTGTTACACCAAGCCATTATTAAAAATAACATATACTACAGTGAAATTGTATTAAAAGTAGTACATTCTCAAAATTCATTGCTTCTTGATTATTTTACCACATTGTACTATTAACTGTGCTTTTTTGGTTACTAACATCTATTGTATTTGTATGTGGAAATGATACATAATGGGTGCCACCACACATCTTTTTCCAACTCCATATCCAGTGACTCTGGAAGCTAGATATTAGCCAAGGTAGATGTATTTACATCATGGAAATTTGCAGCATTTGCCAGTTTTTTGTTTTTTTTTTAATTTGAGAGATGGCATTTCTACACACCTCAGTTGGTCTGAAATATCCTGTTTTACAAAGCTATACTAATCAAAATAGTATGGTATTGGTGTAAAAACAGACACACAGACCAATAGAATAGAACAGAGAGCCCAGAAATAAACCCATGTATATATGGTCACCTAGTATTTGACAAAGGACCCCAATAGTCTCTTCAATAAGTGATATTAAGAAACCAGTTTGTGTAAACTGGACTGTTATTCGGCCATTAAAAGAAGGAAATCTTGCCATTTGGACCACATGAATGGGTCCTGTGGGCACTATGCTAAGTGAAATAAGTCAGACAGAAAAAGGCAAATATTATATGTACTCACATGTATGTAGAATCTAAAAAGGTTTAACTTATAGAAATAGAGAATAGAATAGGTCATTGAGAGGGCCTGAGGGGTGGGGGAGATGAGAAGAGGTTGATCAATGTATATAAACTTACAGCTATAAGATGAGCAAGTTCTGGGGATCTAATTTACAGCACAGAGAGTTGATTCCACAGCACAGGCATTTATTCTTGTTAGTTATGATTAAACTTGTTGATGGTCTGTCTTTTCTTGCTGTTTTGTACATTGATGTTTCCCCAGGGCCAATTTAGTGCTTTATTCAGGGCAGGCACTCAATAAGTGCTTTTTAAATGGATGAGTGAGTGAAGTGTGCAAAAGATAAATTATTTTTTAATGTCTTTTAATCAGTTCTAATTCATAGAAAAAGACAGTCAACCAAAAATTTTGTTCTCTTAACATTATTTATAAAAAAGTTATACTTCATAATTGAAAATGGGACACTTCCTCTGAGAACCACCATTCTAGAAGAGCGAGTAAGATCATTCCAGCCTCAGTTCTATCAGCCATTGTGTTGATTTTGGAAAAGCCACTTGTATTTTCTGAATTGGCCAGAGAGTTAAGTCTTTCTGGAATAAGGCTGAGTTTGAATAAATAAATGTCGTATCATCCTCAGTTTTCTCACATGGAAAAAGGTGCAAATTCTAATTACTCACTGATTTGGGATAGGTATAGCTATTCAACAACAGAATGTGAGCTCTTTTAAAAAATTATGTCCCAGAAAAATTTTAAGTGTTTTCATTATTAGAGTGACTATAAGTCTTGCTAGAAGAAAATAAAGTTTAAATCTATAGGAGAATGAAATCTGGCTTGAGTTTGATTCAATCAGGTAAAAAAGAGTTTTCAGAATGAACATAGGTGGGAGCTGGAGTACTTTAGTTAATTTTTATAACATGGGGAAAGGTAGGCAATAGTGAAATCAGGGGCAGCTATTAAGGAGTTAGGTTTTTATCAAACTCCTATTTGTTACATTCTAGAACACCACTGTCCAATGTGTAATTCGTGTCCATATGTGTAATTTTACATTTTCTAGAAGTTGCATTTTAAAAAGTAAAAAGAAACAACTGGAATGAATATTAATATACTCTATTGAACCCTATAGTTAAAAATATAAACTCTACATAATCATTTTGTAAGTTATTAATGAGATATTTTACATTCTTTTTTAAGCTATGTCTTTGAAATCCTTTGTATTTTACATTTACAATATATATCAATGCAGAATACCACACTTCAAGTGTTCAATAGCCAAATGTGACTAGTGGCTACTGTATTAGCACAAGCCTACAGGATAGAATGAACTCACTTCTAAGCCACTTAAGTTTTCCTGTTCTGACCCAGGGATATTGGTATCAGTGGAGTTTGTACAGAAAATTATAGTTATTTTGTATGTATTTGAAACCTTTAAGCTGAAATATTAGGCAGTAGTTAATCTGCTCATAAAAATGACACTATAGCATGAATTTCTTTTAAGCAGTCTAGCCCTAACCGGCCTAAGTAAAAAATCCTTATAGTAGTGTATCAAATAAGGCATCTTAAGGAATTTCCCATTCAGAATTTCTTCCAAGACTGGGTCAATACAAACTCAGCATGATTTGTGGGGTGGGATGGGTTAGGGGGTTAGAGTAAAGGGTAGGAAAGGAAATAGAGACTAATACACCTTGCTTTTATCTTAAATGCTTAAATAATTGAAATAAAACTAGGTGTATGCCATCTAAATGATGAAGACTGATTGTTGACCCAGACCAAATCCATCACTCTAACCTTTGTTAAATAAGCACAGCACTCATTTATTCAAGAAATGTTTACAGAGCATCTCGTGCCTACATGGCCGTACCCCAAGCCTGAGGATTCAATGGTCAACAAACAACTCAACCTTTGATCTCACTGGCCAGGGCTAGGCAATGGGGAATCAAAAGAAATAAGGATTATCCTCAAGGACCTTGTAGTCTAGATGGAGGGGAAAATTCATAAAAGCATTAGGATTTCAGAAGAAAGAGATTACAGAATGTAAAAGTCCCTGAAAGATACAGCCTTCAGTAGCATTAAGTTCGGTCAAGTTCAGGGAATATGCAACATGAAGCCGCAAAAAACACCCCCCACTTCCCTGGACACCTCAAGCTCTCAGCAGGAGAATCTCAGGGTGGAGCTAAGTGCATGTCTGGGTTTTGATGACTACCAGTCCACATTCACTACTTTTCTTACCACTAACTAAACAAGCAAAGCATTTATTTACTCAACTCACTATCTGTGTCGCACTGGAAAACAACTAACCTCTCCACACTTTTTTCATCTACAAAGCAGGGCCAATACTGACCTACTAGGACCTCATCATGATGATTAACCAGGGCAAGTACGATACTCACTGTAGAACCTGGCATGGCATGGCAGCTCAATTACAACATTAGTAGCTGTGATGATTAATCCTCATCTCTGAGGCTTTGCACATATTGTTCCCCTGAGAAAGCACGCCTCCGGGAAATTCCAGATGTCTCTTCAAAACCCAGCCCATGTGCTCCTTCCAGGTTTCCCTAGGTGGAGTTGGCAACTTCTTCAATACTTAGTTCACAGTCCTAAGGGCACATGTATCATGCCGTGAAGTAGTTATTTATATAGATGCCAAGGCTCAGAGTCAGGGTCAGGAGTTGAAAACACAGACTTAGGATCAAAGGCATATAGCTTCAAATCCTGGTGATACCACTCACTTCCAAGCTGGGCGACCTTGGGCAAGCTCATTTGCCTAATCCTGTTTCTTCATGTACAAAATAGGGATCATAAAGCCTATTTCCCAGGTTTTCTGGAGAGATTAAAAGAAAATGGGGTGATGCAGTTTAGAGCTCTAGCATCCTGCCTGGCACAAAAGAAAAGTCAATAAATGATAAGGGGCAGACCACAAAATAAATGGCCCCAAGGCCCCACATGATGTGGCTCCTGTTGCCTCCTACCTTTGTCTTGCCCTACTCTGCTCTCCACTTACTCTTCTCCAGCCACACTGCCTCTTTTCTCATTCTTAAATGTGCCCAAGTTTTCTTGCCTGAGATGAGAGCCTTTGCACTTGCTCTTCCCCCTGCCTGGGATGCTTTTCCCCTGCTCTCTCCATGGGTGCCATCTTCCCACTCTTAAGGCTCAGCCTACCAGCATCTGCCAGGAGGGTCTTCCTGACCACCCTGTTTACAGTAGTGCCTTCCCCAAGCTAATCCCAATCATGCCACTCTGGACCCTATGCCTTACCTGCACAGTCATTATCATAGTCAGCATTTACCTCTCAAAGATACATTTATTTGAATTATTAACAGGCATATAGAAAAATATGTCATGTGCACACAGCATGAGAAATCTTTACCAAAGTGAACTGTCCCATGGAACCAACTCTCCTATCAAGATAAAGAACATCACTTGGATTCCAGAAGCTCCTTCATGTCCCCAAAGTCATTATCCCTCTCCAAAGGTGACCACTAGCCTGACTTTTACCATCATAGATTAGTACCTGTTTTTTAACTTGATGTCAGTGCAGTCATGTGTTGCAAGATTCTGCCATTTGGCTGGGGCTAGTAAAAACTTGCTCATCCTAATTTTTGAGTAGTGTTCTATTTTATGATAACCAATATTTATCCATCCTCTTATTGAGGGACATTTGGGCTTTCTTCATTTTAAAACTATGTTTATTTTTCATTATCTATCTCCCTATAAGAGCACATGTTTCACATGTACAAATATTGCAACTGCCTTGTCCACTGACTGTGCTTCTAATGCCCAGTACATAATGGGTTATAACCAAACATTTGTTGAATGACTACATGAACATACCAAGGATTTAATGAGTGCCAGGCACCCTGTTAGGCTTTGGAAATATAAACTGACCAAGGCACAATCTTAGTGCTCAGTTTCCTTACAGTGTGGTCATCTTTGATTCCTTAGAATCCTTTTGCTGACTTAGATGACTGAATGAAAATCTCACTTAGGGTCACACATAAATAGCCAGTTTAAGAACCAATCTATGGGACAAAAGTTTATCTCTGGGTAAAAGTTAACTGACCCCGATAGGACTGAACATGGAAGGTAACCTTGCATGGACACACTGAAATAATTGGCTCAGACTAGCTGACAATACAACTCTAAATAGACAAATGAGTCTCTATGAACCACTTACAAACGGAACCCTCCTACAATAGAAGTC